CTGAGTGGTCCTTCCAGCAAACATCAGGGACTATGATTCTGTGATCTGTAATAGACTATCAAATTGTAGAAATGTTGGGAGATTTTGATGACAGAAAGCACGTTTAGAAAGGATATGGGAGAAAAAAATCGGATTGTGTAGTTACGTGCAAATTAAGCGTATGTCACATAGGATGTGCTTACTGAGTTAATGAAGAGTATTGACGTTTAGGTTCTCACCAATAAGTAGCTAACAGATGAGTGAGAATTAGTACATGTTATCTTAGATTGTCTTCAGTTTGAGAAAACTGGTACTTGATCAGGCTTAGATTTAAATAGAGATTCTTCTCTTTCATAAGGACTTTCATATTTTCTTGCTTGAGGTTTAGCTTTGGATTTCCAAGACAGTTATTTACCTAAATGCCATTGAGTTTTAAGTGCAAATTTATTGCTTTGCTTGTTAGAAGCATTTCATACTCTGAAATACTGAAGAGGTTTGGATTATTATGGTAGATGCCACTACTTTGAGACTTCTTACTGTGATCAACACCAAATTGGTGTGGGGGCAGTTAATGCACTGAAGGGCAAGGCTGCCATTCAGAAGGACCCCGTCTAACTGGAGGAGTGGGATGACAGGTATGTTGTGAAGCTGAACAAGGACAACCCCTAAATCTTTCACCTGGGATGGAATAACCCTGTGCGTGAACGCAGGCTTGGGAACTGACTGGCTGGAAAGTAACTTTGCAGAAGAGGACCCAGGAGTCTTGGAGGACAAGCTGAATGAGTTGGCAACGTGCTTTTCATCACTGAAGGATGGCTGCGTACTGGACTGTGCTGTAGCCAGCAAGTTGAGGGAAGTAGTCATTCCCTTCTGAGTCTTAGGAAACCGCAGTAGGATTATAGAATGGTTTGGGTTGGAAGGGACCTTAAACCTCATCCAGTTCCAACCCCCTGCCATGGGCAGGGACACCTCCCACCAGACCAGGAAGGTGGAGCCGTAGGAGCACTGTGTCCAGTGGGGGCCGCTATTGATTCTGCATCCAAGGAATGTGTCAGAGTTCAGCTCAGCAAAACCCGGAGAACCTGATCTGACTTTGAAGCTGACCCTGCTTCAGGAAGCTGGACTAGATAATAGCCAGGTGTCCCTTGTAACCTACCTTTTAAAAAAAACCTAATGATTATGTGAGAGAGAGGAGGGCTCAGAGAACATGTTTTCCTCTTTGTTCTGTTTCTGTCAACATTGTTCTGGCAAATAATAACCTAAAAGTCCTTTTAGGTTGATTTTTTTTTCCCTTTTGGAAGATTTTTTTCTTTTATTTTTTTACTCCATTTTTAAAGTGATCAGGCAAATTCTGTGTGTTTTATTTCTCCCATGTCTCCTGAGCTAAATCCTTACAGCTGATTGAGTTGATAATTTTAAAGTTTAGAATCAGTTCCTCTATAAAGTTTATTGATATTTCAATTCCCCCTATTCTTCCTTGTTGTATAATAGGTTAGTACTTGAGAAAATGACAATTTGTATTTCTTTAATTGCACTTTTTTCGTTTCCTGTGACAGACCTGTTATTATCAGAGATATATCCATGCGCAGCTTTTCACTCTGCTGTGATCTTCTTCGTCATGTTTGCCACACGGCAATTATGTGTTGCAATGATGCTCTGGAGAGCCACCTTCATGTTATTGTAGGAACCCTAATACCTCTTACCACGGACCAGCCTGAGATTCAGGAACAGGTAGTTGCTGCTTAGTTCTTATCTGTTAGCTTTTTTATTCATGTTCACTGTCGTAAAAGCTATACTCATGTTCAATTTTAATTGATTTTTTCTATGCTTTGTAGATTTATATAAAAATATTATTTAAGATGTAACATCATACCTTTAATTTTTTACATAAAAGTATCTTTACCTTTGGTACTTATATTTTCACTGTTACAGTGTTCCATATTTAATTCCTGTGGCTTTAAATGATGATTGAGATATTTGTATCGTAATTGCTGATGTTACTGTATCACTTACTTTCTAGTGCTCCATTTAGGCTAGCAAAAAATCAGATTTCTTAAAGAGTTTTAATGGTGGTGTAATGTCTTTTATGTCTACTTTGTGTCTGTGTGCCTTTTTCAGCCAAATCTGAAAGAGATTTAAAACCTTCAGGGTAAGTTTCAGAAAAATTGTTACCTTAGTTGAGTAGCGACACCAAATCAGTGGTACCAGTAAGGAAAAGACAGAGCAAACATAGGCACTGGTAAACTGCTGGTGATGGTGAGCTAATCAGTACAAGCACAAATAGCCAAGCAGTTACCTACAAAGCTCTGTGCATGATTTCACAGGAAACACAAACAAGACCTTTGGAAGGGGAAGGTGTCTAGAGTACAAAAAGGAAATATGTGTAAAGAATGGGTTTCAGTAGTAGATATTTATTTAACAAATTATCATTAAAAATTAATGTAGCATATAGGCCTTGAAAGGGAAATGAAGCAGTTTCTGTTGTGTGACAAGCCTCAGTTTTTCTTCTGGTGATGATTTCTATGTGCATTCTGTTGACTGATACTTAAAGACTTATAATTAGTAGCTGAAGGTGAGAAGAGTGTGCCTGTTGCACTTCAGGCTTCATGGTTGCCTTCTGGCTTAATCTGATCCCATGGCACCAGTGCGCCTTCATGGTTGCTGTGTAGCCCTGTGTTGTCCTCTTCCTTGTATTTCCAGTTCAAATGGAGGACTCTGCTGATCCAGCTGAAAATAACCTGGCAATCTTTTTCCCAGCTTCAAGATAATGGTTGGATTTATAACATGTCTGTGCAAACAGTTGTACATGCACGACTGCAAAGGCAATGTGTCTGGGCAGAAACAAAGTGGGGAAGCCAGAAATGTCTCCAAATTGGCACTGATACCATATACGAAACCTTCTCATATCGTAGTCCTACCAGGAACTCCTTCCTCTGGTGATCACTTTTCAGTTTCTTCTCTTTATTTTTCTTCTAGAATTGATTAGAAGCTAGTTAATAAGTTTCAGGTGAATCCAGGTCTCTAAATAAAAACTGTAGACTCCTCAAAGCTGCCTGAATTGAATATCCAATTGCACTGGTTTGTGCATAAAAGCAGTGTTTTTGGAAAGTATGGTACTCCTTTAGCAAGCATTTATTGAAGTTATAGATCTGTTATAAGACAAATTCTGCCGGAGTTCAGAGTTACTGATTTGGGCAGTAAATTAAGATATTTAGGCATTTGTCTGGATTTCAGATTACCAGCACTTCAGTTAGTAAAACTAATATAATCCCATTAACATCAGAAGGACTGCTTGGGTGCAGTGTGTTGCTAAATCATTGCCAATATTGTAATGATTGTATTGGCCAGTTTTTGAAATCGGCTTTATCAAAAGACAGGATAAAGCTGCAGGCTGTGATAATTAAAGCTTTGATGTCTGTATGGGAGGTGGAGGAGCGAAAATGTCTCACCATTTTAGAATGTATCTGTGATTTTCCCCAACACTGTAAATATTTTATGAATTTTAACAGTGTAAATAAATTATCTTACCATTTTTTATAGACTTCTTAGTTTAGTGGAACTTAAGAGAAACATGAACTAAGTAATATGGCTCAAAAGTGTTTCTCTGTATTTTTTTGTTTTCTTTTACTTTTAATGTTCAGGTCCTAGGCTTGTTGAAGTATCTGGTGATAGACAATAAGGATAATGAAAATCTGTACCAAGCAATCAAATGCTTGGATCCTTTTCCTGAATATCCTGCTTTTAAAGATTTGCGAGCAACTCAACAGAAGATAAAGTACAGTAAAGGACCATATTCTCTTTTGGAGGTAATTACATTTTAAAATACATCTCATGCTGTGGTGTTTTTTGTAATGCAAACTTTCAAAAGAAAAACAATTTTCTAGCTATTGGTATAGTTGAAAGGATTTAAATTAGCCATGTGGATTCTTTTTATTGCCAGTTTCAGAGACTGAGATATTTGTAGGTCTCCATTCTTAATTTGCATCTATTAATCTCCACACTGTGGACTGCTGAGAGCCACTTCTTTACTTGAAGCCTTTACTTAATGCTATAAATGCTTAATACAAAATGTTGTTTTGCAGGAAATGAATCACTTTCTCTCAGTTGGTGTTTGTGATTCACTGCCCTTAACACGACTTGAAGGGCTGTATGATTTACGCAAAAAATTGGAACAATATAAAGATCAGATGAAGGATCTCCTGAAAAATTTCCAGGGTACTGGCATCTGATTGTGTATTTTATTTCTTTTGTGTCTGGTTTTAAATCTGTAGTGATGTAACCCTATTCTAATTTGGCATTGCATGTTTTGTTTTGTGTCTTGATTTTTGTATGTGTAACAATGTAACTTCTTATAATTTCACATGCAGAGTAGAATGGCATTTATTATTCATGTGAAATCTGAAGTATCTTTAGCAAATATTATATGAGGTGTTATATGGCAGAGAGGATAAAATACCCTTCCAGCTTTTGACATGGGACACTTACGATAGTGAATGACCAGGATAAAAAATGAGTATATTGCTTTATGGCTGCTCAGTGAATTTTCTTTTATATGAATCTCCCACTCTTTTAAATATAATGAAGCTGGATTTTATTGAAGGCATTGTATGTTAGAAAGTAAAGCTCACAGAAGTTTTAAAATTACAGATTTAGTGTAGTTGAACCTTGCTACATCCCAGCATTTGGTTTCAGCTCTCAGTCCAGACCCAGTTCCTTCCTATTTTGGTTTTCAGATGCTTGTGCCAGACCATTTCACTTTTCTCCTCTACATCAGGTCTTCATCAGCTTGTGTGCATGACAAGAAGATAAAAAGAGCTGATGTAATTCATTGTAAATAAGTGCAAAGTAAAATTTGGAGAAGAGTAGTAGTCCGTCATAATGCCATAGTGTTAAGTGCATTATGTCTCCGTATCTTGAGTATAATTTACAATTTGAGTCTTGAAATTCTACTTGAAAAGAGAGTTAGTAAAATGGCAACAAGCTTGTGTGGAACATCTTTCATCAGAGGAGTGCCTTGTGAGCTTGAAAAGGAGATTGAATAGGAATACAAAGGTGTATGAATTGGTGAATGGTATTTCTTTGCATAGAAATTTTTTCAAGACGTGATGAATAAGAAAAATGAATTTTTAAAAATATACTGTTTAATACCAGCTTGCTTCAACATTAAATATGCATATTGACATTTGTAGATAAAAGATACTAAAGCAGTGCTTTCTTCTAATATGTTCACATTACAAATATGCAATGACATTTGAGGGTTTTTTCTGTCTGCATGATAGAAAAGCCAGAAGATTCTGTAGTAGTGAAGTTGGTGGTGAGCTTACTGCAGCTGGCCAAGATGGCAGTGAACCATACGGGTGAAAGAGCGGTGCTGGGTAAGTTAAATACTCCCACAGGCATCCTAGGGCTGTCGCTGGAAACCCCGGGTTGAAACTGTGGCTGTTACTTCCGACTACTGTTTTGCGTTTGCTGCCAGAGGTAGCCATCAGGAATGTTAAATGGGTGATATGTCTTACTTTCAGTCACTGTATTTTACAGCTTTGACTAATAACTGACATTGTCATCAATTTAGACCTTGGTCTCTTCTGTACTCAATAAAGAGTCGTCTGCTGCCATAGGGGTCACTTTATTGCGTTTTAAAAAAATTAGTAAGAAAAACTGAAGAGAACTTATCTAAAAATTTGAAATATAGCTTAGCTTAGTGGAAAACAAAATAGTTGTTCTCCATCCTAAAGTCTCTTCTGTATTATTAAAATTATTCTCACCACTTATATTGAGCACCTGTTTGATCCAAAGCACTAAAGCTAAATTCTGAATCTTCTCTTCCCCATGTAGGCAATACCTCCATGAAGGTGATATTTACCGTAATTAAATGTCTAAACTAGATAGTAATGAGAACATTTGCCTTAATATATTTTTGTCTAAAGGACTAAGAACTGATAATTACAAATGGTGAGCAATTGAAGCTCCCATTGGCTTCAGTATGATACATTCTTCAGCACTTCTGCAAGCTGTCGGTTTCAGCCTTTTCTGCATTGTGTTTCCTTAGATGATTTGTTAAATTTAGTTCATAACACAACCTGTATCTCTTCAGTCTGTTCTTTATTCACTGCCACCATTAAAACAGAAATGTTTTTGGTTGTAGAAATGGAAACATTTTCAAGACACGTGCCTAGTATGAAGGAAAGAGCAGGAGCATCTTTCTGATGAACATTAGCATCTCTTTTTTAAAAACTATTTTCAGGGTCAATTTTGTTTTGTTTTCTCTTGTGTATAGTCATGTCTGGATAGCAAATGAGGAACACACTGACACATAATTTTATGTAAAATGTAGGTCAATTCATATTAAGTTTACAGGCTGCTGTTTGTGTTCAGAGGCTACTGTTTGTTTATTATACCCTTAGGAAATGAAAATGAGTGTCTCATGGTGGCTGTCATTCTCACCTTTTGCACTAACCCATTTCTGACACAAGCGAAAATAAAATCCATATCTGATTTAAACTGCAAAATCCAGAGTGGTAGGCACTCCTAGAAAATTGAGTTGAAAAGCGTAACTATTATTTGTGAGTCTTAAGCTGCAGAATTTATATATGTGTAATTTTAATCAGAAAGTTCCTCAAGTGATTATTTATAAATGTTTGCAGCTTTAGACCCCAAAATAATCTCAGTTCTAAAAGTAGTTTATATAAATTGCAACTTTTTATGGTGATACCTTGTTTTAGTGTGTGTAAGACTATGAAATTACTTGTATTTGCAGAGGCTGTTGGAAGTTGCTTGGGAGAAATAGGTCCCATGGATTTCTCCACCATAGCTCTTCAGCGTGCTGAAAATGCACTGGATTCTAAAGCAGTGGACTTACTTGAAGACAGAAATCTTCAGTGGGTCTTCATAGTGTTGACTCAAATAAATATTGCTTTAACAGATAATTGGTGAGTATACTTACGTATTTAATTTATTTAGTTCAAAGCTTAACAGGAGCCATTAAGCTGTACATTGTTCAAATAATCTCAGAGTAACGTTCTGAAAGTCCTATTAACACCTGTTAATGTCCAACCATGTGCTGCTTCAAGGCTCAGATTACTTATCCAGTCGAGCTTAGATGTTTCGTAGAGATTCTCTCTCTCTAGAACCAGAGAGTCTCTTCTGTGCTTCAGAGGATAGTAGTGCTGTGGAGTAAATGCTGAGGCTCTGCATTATAACAAAATGTGCAATGGCATATTCTAGTTCAAAATTTTCTGATTTGATGCACGTGGTAGGTTGTGGAATTAGTGTCTTGCACGTTTATAACGATGATTTTGAAAATGAAATATCCAAATGAAATTAACAATAACGACATTGTGTATGTTATTCTTTCAGTATTGATGTTAGAGCTGCTGCTGTTTCCTGTTTGAAAAACATATTAGCCACCAAGTCTGGCTGTGAGTTTTGGGAAGTTTATAAAAATAAAGCTGATCCCATGTTAACCTATCTACAGCCTTTCAGAATGTCTAGGAAAAAGGTACTTCTTCTGATATACCCTATTTATACGGCATATGGGGTAGAGAAAACATGAAAATATATATTTAAAAAGTAGTAAATTTGAATATATTTTTGAGATGGGCTTTGATGTATGCAAAAATTTGAACTTTTGATCAGTCTGATAGCAAATGTGATTGCTTTTGGTATGTCTGTTTCTCCTTTCTGTTTCAGCATCTGTGGTTTCTTTACATCAGAAATTAGCAATTTGAGATTAGAAAGTAGTGCACTTTCACTATTGGACACAATTTCTGATTGCCTACTCAGTAATTTAGCACATTCTTTCTCAAGACTCCAGTATCATTTGATGCAAAAGCGTAGTGGTGAATAGGTCAGAAAAAAAGGTGCATTATTAACCCTAAGTCAGCTGTTTCCTAATTTTCAAAATTTTGATTTGTAACGTAACTGTGATGCCTAATGTGGCCTTGTTGATGTTATCAGTAATTTTTTTTAATACTTTCAGATTTCCTTGGAAAACTTTATATTTACATGAACAAAATTGACATTGTCAATCAATTAAAGCACAGTTAATATTTAATATGTTTTAATATGTGCAGATTGCAGTACGTTTTTTTTTAAATGCTGTAGAATTTGTTCATATTTGTAGTACGTATATTTTCCTTCTAGTTTTTTGTAGTACCTGCTAATGATGCAGAGGCTTCTTTAGAATCTTTGGATGACACAAACCTTTGGGTTCCTCTGGGAGAAAGCCATGAGACCTGGATCAAGCGCCTCACTGGTTCTGTACTGGACAGTGGGGGTGTGCAAAATGAAGTTCTCCAGTTAATGAAGCCTCTGTGTGAGGTGAGTTAAATTACACCTATGTATATGTATGTCCACTGTGATGCACAGAAACACATGATTACTCATGTTGATAGCATATAGTAATTTCTGTTATTAAGTTACTACTTTTTCTTAACAGTAATTCCAATCCTTCATAGTCAGATATTGCAGATACCCATAAAATACACTCTTGAAATACAAGATTTGAGAGATAATTGTAAACAGAGATGAACTGTATATGACTGCTTTAACTGAATGCCAGCATAGCCCTAATGATTGGTTTACGTATTTCATATTATGTGTTCTTTCTCAAGCATTACATGTTTGTTTGAGTAGTTGTCAGTTTGGTTATAACTTGAGAAAGAAATGCTTTCGGTTCTTTTTCTTAGCGACTGCTTTGCATCATTGTTTTCTAGGTGAAAACAGACTTGTGCCAAACTTTGCTTCCATACCTGATTCATGATATCCTTCTTCATGACTCAGATGAATCTGGGAGAAATCTTTTGTCAGTTCATATCCAAAAGTTTTTTACAGCCTGTTGCAGATTTGCCTCATCTAGTAGATCTGCTACACCTCCAAATTCTGATTCAGGTAATGTCATAATGTTTTTGTTTCAGCTGAAAGAGGGATTATGGTTGTGAAAAAAAAAATCTTCTGACATCAAACGTATGATTTGCACTTATAGGCAGACAGAATTTTAGAAGCTTCTATCCAATTGTTTGATCTTTTCTCAGTGGAGATACCAGTAATTTTGAAGCTATTCATTGGCAACACCAAAGCAGTTTCTTCTGTATCACTTTTTTTCTTGTTCACAACTGGATAATGTTTATTACTTGCTGAATTTAGTTGTGATCTGATGTTGTGTGCTGCAAGACTAAATCTTGGACTGTCTCTTAAAATGAGTAACTGGCAGTTAAATTCCTCTCTTCCTCAAACAAGAGCAATTAAAGGCAGCTTTCACCTGGATTTTCCCATTGAAAAAAAAAGACTAATCCTTGCTTTAGCTTTTGTCTAATGTTGATAACAGTCTCCATAAACATTGAAAAGACCTGTTCCATTCTAGCAGAATGAAAGGAAGTTGTAACCAAAAGAACTGAAGCTGAGTATGAGTAATGCAGTAAGTTCCATTTAAAATAAACCACCTTTTAATCAAGCTGGCTGGTGTCCTTACCAGTTAGGTTGTGGTTGAAGTGAGCAGAAATCTGTGCAAAAATAAGATCTTTGTTATTAGACTGTGGGAATTGTACATGCACTTATTTTCAGGAGCTGAAATAATGTATTTCTTTTATTTGTGTATGTCCCTTAATTAAGACAAATACAGTAACATCAGGTTAATATATTTTTTTGTGCAGTAGCTACTCTACTATATATTCCAACTCCCTTCTTCAGTCACAAATAACC